AGAGACGGAGGGAGAGGACAGGATGGAAACGGGGGATGGAAACATGGGTGGAGGTAAATTGAAGAAGATGGAACTGGTAACGAACGAGGCGCGAGGCAAGGCGCACGAAGCCCACTTGCACGCGCAATCAAGGGAGAAGTTTGCGGCGAACTGCATTCGGGATATGTGCGTACAAATGAAGGCCAGGAAATTCGAGGGATAATTTCCCTTCGGCGTCTCTGTAACAGGATCATAGGGCCAACTGGCGACGTTGTTCCGGTGACGTTTATCATTTGCCAGTTGTCAGTGAATAAACGGGTGACTCGCGTTTGGAATACATTAGTGTAGATGGAATATGTATGTACGTATCAGATGCGAAGCGATCACGAAAAGTTGTTGAATTCGTTAAAGAATGATTTTTTTTTTTGCAAAAGAAATAGCGTTTTAATTGGAAATAAGTAAATTACGTACAGTGGATACGATAAAGAAATTAAAAATTCTAAACATAGCGAAAGGATCATCTTTTTCGTAATTCTGAATCTAAATCACGGAGGGCTTGATCGAAGGGCCGTGATTTTCAAGGACTGGAGAGGGAAAATCTTCTTCACGAGATGTAAGATCTGAGTTGTACCTCTTCTAGGGTTATGCCCACGTGCCGGTTGTTCATTAAAGAATTACAAAGACCATCTCCTAATTGGCCGCGATCCAACCGGGCACGCCCCATATGGGATTTATTAGAATTAGAAATCTGATGCTCCACGTGTGGCCGCGCGTTGTATATTAACATTAACGGGCCAGAAGCTACGAGGGCCATTTGTACGCGAGCCAGTGAATTACGTAGAACGTGAGAGGCTTCCCCACGCGAATTATTAGTCTCATTATTACTTAGTTTCGCCGGGACAACATCTTCGATCGACCGATTCTTTTACAAAAAAAAAAAAAGTATGAAATTATTGCACGATTGTTGGTGTACAGCGTAACAGCATCACCTAACGATAAATATTGAAAAGAATCGTGAGAAAGGATTGCTGGTATTTTATTGTTAAATAAATATATGCGAAAGTGGCAAGATAATATTGGATGAAGTTGGAAGAATATATTTGGAAAGATTTATTAAAAAATCATCTATTTGTTGGTTAATTGGCCCTGTGATAACTGTTTCAATATTTGCACGATAATATCTATTAAATATAATTGATTGGAGACGAATTGTGCCCACATGAAAAATCAATATGTACGCGATAATGGATTAAGATTTATAGATTCGATGTATAGATTGATAATTCGTTTCTTTTTTTTTCGTTCCCTTTTTTTTTTTTTTTTTTGTAAGAAAAGAAATATTTATTCGAAATGACACGACCTGTTTTCGAAAATATTCAGCCGTGAATATTGTACGTGTACTCGATAATTAAGATCGATGGTTGCCGCATAGAACATAAATGATGTTTGCAGTGCATCTGTAAATATAATCTAAATCTCAAAACGTGTATTTTCACATTTCTATCGGAACGCGTGCTTGTAAATTATCATCGTATTATCATGTTTACAGATTTACGTTACATTATGCAACTCATTTTGCGTAAAATTGGATGAAACAACCGGATTTCGGAGGAAAAGTGCTTTTATCTTTATAATGCAATATGACTGTGCGCGAATTTGAACGTGTTCCAATGAATTTTTTTTTTTGTATATTTTTTTTCTTTTTTAACGTTAACGAAATAATTTGAAACGAAATATTAAAATTAAAAATGATTAAATACGTTTCGTTGGCCGAATCGATACGAAATTTTAAATTCTCTTTTCTTGTTGATTTCCATCACTTTTTAAAGTAACAATTTTAGTTTCGCTATATTTTTAAATCCGTGACATATTATTTCCCATGATTTCCTATTTATATATTTCTATTTTTTTTATTATTTTATTATAAACGTACAAAAATTCAATAGAAGAATGCTTTATTCGTATATCATAAAATATCGATTTCTTGCCCATATAATACCCATTTTTCAATATACCCCTGTATGTGCCGGCCGAATATACATTTTACCTTATTCCGATAATAATAATTTTGAGGTGCATAATAAATATTAAATAAATATCAGACAAATTACAATATTTTTGAAAAATTTTTAAAAATCAATAATATATTTAAATATATTTTAATATTGTATATTCTTCCAACAATGCTCTTCCCTTGCTAAATCGTTATCCAAATACGAGAGCTCGTGAATTAAACATGCATGGATTTAAACCGTACGTGTACAACTTAATAAATCCAATTCAGGATAGTCAGAAAAATTCTTTCTGCGAAAAAAAAAAAGAAGAAGAATAGGGGAAAAATAGCATAATTAGTTAGAACTAGTTTTTGGTTTCCCAATTATTTATCGTTTCACCTCCATTTAGCCACGATTTTTTTATAAACGTACAAAAATTCAATAGAAGAATGCTTTATTCGTATATCATAAAATATCGATTTCTTGCCCATATAATACCCATTTTTCAATATACCCCTGTATGTGCCGGCCGAATATACATTTTACCTTATTCCGATAATAATAATTTTGAGGTGCATAATAAATATTAAATAAATATCAGACAAATTACAATATTTTTGAAAAATTTTTAAAAATCAATAATATATTTAAATATATTTTAATATTGTATATTCTTCCAACAATGCTCTTCCCTTGCTAAATCGTTATCCAAATACGAGAGCTCGTGAATTAAACATGCATGGATTTAAACCGTACGTGTACAACTTAATAAATCCAATTCAGGATAGTCAGAAAAATTCTTTCTGCGAAAAAAAAAAAGAAGAAGAATAGGGGAAAAATAGCATAATTAGTTAGAACTAGTTTTTGGTTTCCCAATTATTTATCGTTTCACCTCCATTTAGCCACGATATTAGTCATGATCTCGCTAATTCATTGTATCCCCCATTCTTTCCACACAGAGAGAATTTTACTTCGCCAATTATACAACTTTCTCCCATTCTTTCCACACGAAGAATTATTCTGACAAGAATTATTCTGACAACAAGCCTGGTCCAAACTTTAAATCTACCCTTATGTATACACGTATAGAAAACTCGTGAAATTTTTCCTCCTAGAACTTGCATAACTGATAACTAATAAATCTTTCGAAATCTCAATCCACCAATTGGAGTTACGAATTAACACCCAACTTGCCAATTTTCTTGAATCCTGACAAACTGACCCAAACCTCGTTCACAATCTCCTCGTGAAGAAAATGAAACACCAATCTACAAGATTGATAATTGAAATAAAGGTTACGATCGACGAGAAGACGAAGTTCACGATTAATTTGATAGATAATACTGTCTTTGCAGATTTCGATAACAGAGAGAGAGAGAGAGAGAGATTTGTGTCGCGGTTCAACAGGCTCGGCACCAAGTCGAACAATCCTGTCATTCCCTTTCGTGATAGGACCCACGAAAGTCCTTGCCATCGACCATTATGGAAAGAGAGAGGAGAGGACACGAGATTCACAAGGGAATTATCGGTACTTGATTGCGCTTAATCCACAAAGTTTTCTCGTTTGACTTCGCCTCGACCCACGTCACCGGTTTTCACCGGTGCACGATTTTCCTTCGTCGGAGGGATCACTCTAAACGAAGAATAAGGTCGAAAAAAAAAAAAGAAATCCAATATGAAAAAGCGAAAGGCTGGCAAACCTCTCGCTAACGATGCTCGTTTGGTGGAATGTGTTTGCACACTTGTTACACCGCGTCTTCTCCCTTCTTTCCTCCACGTCCCCTTCTTATTTTCCCTCTCCTCCCGATTTATTTTTATGATTTCTCGAATGATTTTCTTAAAAAGTATTTTCTTAACGCGAGAAATATACTTCAACAATGAATTTTGATAGGTATTTCAGGGAAGGGAATGTGTAGTATATATAGAAAATCGAACAAGGGTGTTTCTCTGTGTAAATAGTAACAACGTGGAATTGAAAATCTTTTCTACGATGTTTCATTTTCGGGAGAATTGAAAATATAATTCTTGGATGCGAATGAAACTTACTTTAGAAATAATTAAAAAATATATATATATATTTAAAACAAAATTTTCTCGGATTAAATCAAATTGAAAAATGTTTAATATTTCATTCGTGAAGATTTCGAACGTGTTCGAAGTCGACTTTTTCGAAAAAAATGTTGTCATAAAATATGATTAATTATAATTTTTATTATAATTTTATTTGGGATGAAATATTGTATTATTTAATAATTATATTATTTTCATTTTGTCATCGTGTTACAAAATATTTATATTTAGTCTCGAATATTAGCTTGTTAGCGCTATTTCGAAATATCAAGATTCTCTGTGTACAGGTATTATAATAATCCCAATTGTCTGAACAGCCTACCAAATTAATTCCATTCTGTTTCACGATTTTAGTGCATTTCGTGACGTCTATTTCTGGGGTTTGCCTCCCTCTCCCTGTTTCCACCCTCCTCCTCCCACCCTCTCAATTCATAACGCACGTATACGGCTCAAACTAATTTCAGGCAGAGAAGCAATGCTTCTTGCGACATAATTCCTACAGTTTAAATCCTTCGAGCGATATTTATAGGATAGAATGCACGTCGTACAAAATTTAAAGCAATCTTCATTATTATTATTATTATTATTATAGCTTCAAGAAATTCTATCGTTGAAAGCAATAGAAATATCTATGTGTATATATTTATTTTCGAATTAATTTTATTTGAAAGAAGTTAATTTATTCTCTAATATCTTGTAAAAACATAATAATTTTCTTACTTGTATTATTAATTTATTAATACGATATTACCATTCCATAGTTAAATAAAATATAATTTTCATTCACATCAAATTTGAACACGTACCACGTAGCTCGATTATCCCCAGAAATTTCTTGAAAATTTAACAAAATGACGTGCAAAATTTCATTCATTCAATTTCTCCAATTTCTGAACTTTCAAACTTCCTCTCAACTCTCATATACGAATTACTATACGTTTCCATTTTAAAGAAACCCTACCTCCTTCTCGATAATCTACGTAGAAAAATCTTAGGGAAAGAATTACGAGGATTAACCGCACTGCTAACACCCAGGCCCCATACATCGATTATAAAAATCCTCGAGATTCCTTCCGTATAAAATTCCCTTGAATCGCTCTTAAACCCGATCTTACTACTCTCCCTGTTACTCTTTTCTTTTCTTTCTTTTCTTTTTTACAATCCGTTCCACAAATATCCAAAATCTTCTTTACACGATGGTAAAGGAAAGAGGCGGCCTTAACACAGCCAAGGGTGTCCTCGTAAGTAGTAAAGACACGAAAGAGACAGGCACGTGGAAGCCAGGACGCATGCGTGTCGTGTTGCTCCTGCAGGATTTCGCACGACAAGTCAGTCTGCATCTGGACTCCGGCTCGCGTACATTTTCCGGCTGTGCATGTGAGTGACTGTAAACCAACGATATCCTGGTGGTGGACGACTATGAGGGTAACCACGCTGAATCAGCTGATCTTGTGGAGCTCGTTGATCGTCGTCGTTGGAGCCGTTCATCGATCAGAAGGTGAGCGATCGAGGCGTTCGAAGAGGTCTCGAAAAATAAATTTCATCGAATAGAAATATCCTCCTCTTCTATTTTGGATGTGATGAGAAGAAACGTCGTTCGAATCCTTAGAGATGCCAATGAGGTGAAACGAACGTGACAATCTTGACGTTTCCTCGGTATTTCGAGACGGTTGAAGACGTTACATAATTCTGTGACGACGCGTGCTGTTCGTATGCTCGGATATATTGTGCAATATAATGCAAGAATTGTGGAGAAACGGATTAAGGAACGAAGGATACTTTTGTTGTGCCGCCATTCATTACGATTATGTAAATCACGGCACGCCGCTTTGAAAATCTTGGCGTGGAAAAGGATATTACAATTAATTTTCTTCCCGCGTTGATGGCCTCCTCCACACTCGGCTACCTTGATTCATTTTGTTAGAGAGATGTAACCGCGTGAACAATGGTTATACGCTTTATTCCCCCGCCTTTGAATTTTGGATTGATTCGCTTCGTGCGAATTCCTCGTCTCTTGAATAAATTTACGATGCTTGCCACGAAATCGTAGAAATATTTCGAAATATTTTATTTTAATAATAATATTTAATATCGATGGATAATGGTGAAGTTTATCGATTTCATTTTTCTCTTCTCTTAAATTTATTCCATTTTATAAATTATGAAATTCTTTTATGAAAAATTTTCTTTCATCAAAATTATACTTTAAAGTGAAGAATTATTTAATGCATATTGAGAAGCGGAAAAGTTCTTTCTGAATCTTTCACGTGGCCATTTGAAACTCCGAGTCAAAGTAAACTTTTACGTTCTGAGCAACTTTTTACGAAGAACTTTCCACGAGGATGGGAACCAGGAGTCCTTCTAAATAACAACAAATATACTGGTCTGTTTGTATATATATGAAATTATCTATGACGTTTGAAGAAACATTTAATTTCGTTAAAATAATACATAGAAATTCTACTTACATTGGAAGATACTTAAAATATATACGAAAGTGATGTGAACATTCAACGTGATATAAATTGAGAGAATGAAATATAAATAAAAGAATTTATTAAATGGAATCTAAAAGCTAGATTAATTGATTTACAATCATTTTCTGATATACGAAATTCTTTCCTTCTCTACTGTATTATAATTAAGACTCATTCGACTCAATAATCAGTTTGATTTAATGGATTATCTCCACTTGTTCTACTCAATAATATATAAATAAGCGAGTAGACACATAATGTTCAAGATCATTTTAGTATTAAAATTATATTATAATATCTATAAATTTGTATTCCTAAAATTATATTACCATATGAACAATAATACAACCGAAATTATAATTATAATATATGCCATTAATTAAAATTGGGAACATGTTATTAATCTAACATGATTAGTTAACATATATTTGCATTAAAATTTTTAACAGATCTAAAGTTATGATAATCAAGTGTACTCGTATTGCCATTGTTATGAGCACATTCAATCAAATAATAAATATTAAGATAAGAGTAAAAAAAAAATTAATTACATAAAAAATCGTTGATACATTTTATTCAAACAACTGGAACAATGAGTTTAACAACAACTTTTAGGATAGTTATGTCGAAGAGGAATAAAGATGTGAAATTTTGTAACAAGGTAGGAATGTAGAGAGGGGAAAACACTCACGAGAAGTCAGTCTATAACTTTGTGCCACAATGGAAGTAGGACTTTCTGCGCCGTTGAACGGAAAGGATCTTCTGAAATTGCTATGAATGACGAATAGAATAATGCCAATAGGATTACAAGCCTGCAAACATTCGTATTATCGGTTATTAAAAATTTGACTTCTCATTCTGATACCGATTTAAAAATTCATTAATTTACGATAAAATCAGAGATATTGATTTATAAGATATCAAGACAAATATTTATCGAATTAGTATCGAAAGCTATAACGATATTGTAACTTAAAATTTTTACAAATTTAATTTATACAATTTAATGGTAATTATGTGATTATTGATCTGAGAAAAGAAGTAAGGAATTCAAATTTTTGCTATCACTAACAACAACAGAAAAATTACATCCATAACAGATATGGATGGTTAGTGCTACATTGTTCTTCGAAATTGGTCGTGATTTCTCTCCGGGGTAGCAACCCTCTGGAGAGTCAATGATTTGTGGTGCACAGCTAGCAGTGATTGACCGTAGTAACAGTGTTGTCAAAATGATCAAGAATTCAAAACATAGTTTCATATATATATATATATATATATTAACACGCAACTATGCGTGTTGTATATTATTTGTACAAGCATATTGACAAATAAAACGCAAAATTTAATTACTCGTAGCGATACATTTGATGTTTCAATCAATTTATTCTGGGCTGGAAGTTTCTTAATTAGAAATATCTGTTGATCGAGTAATAGCTATTCAAACAATTTGTAATTAAAATCTCTTTATATGTGTAAGAATAATGGAATAATATAAAAAATTAAATTTGAAATATTCTGTACACTGTACAATGAATTGGCTTCTGAATCTTAGATATAAAATGTTCTAAAAATTTAAATGGAATATGCGGCACTGTGATACAATTAATATAAAAAATAGGTATGAATAAAATTTATCTAATCAACAATATTGCCTTGAATAATGAATATTAAAATATGAAGGCAAAGATGACGTACCACAACAACCTTAAAATATTTAAAGCTTTAGAGGAATGGAGATAAAATGGTGCGAATCTTAAAAAGAACGTGATAAAATATACGAAAGAATGTAAAAAAAAATTTGCATAATTTAATGGCTAAAATATTCATAATTCATAAATCTTTAATTAAAATTCATGTAAATGTATTATCCTCCATTTTTATTGGAATTTATTTGCATTCCTTTTTTCATAATACTAATATGACGAGCTTAATCATTCAATTTTCTTGCGAAACATTGATTCACGAACATAACGTTGCCAATAATCATTCATCTATTACAAATGTGCAATTGGTTCTTTTTTTAAAAAGATAATATTGGTATCACTTTCTACTCTCTCGCTTAACTGAATTTAAGAGAAGCACATTCACCTTTTCCTGCATACTTTTATATCTCGATCCACTTATTCCAATAAATAATTCAAATATCCATTACTATTCATCCAAATCTTTCAACATGATCCTTTCTTAACAAAATTTGAACGAATTTTCAAGTTGATTATCGATCCACTTCAGAAAGACCATCAACGCTATTGAAAATTGAATCAAGATCTGAAAAAAAAAAAAAGGAAAAAAAGATCCGAACGATTTTCGAAAACTATATATTTCCAGCAATGTGTTCACGGCCATAACAGTTTGCATCGAAACGATGAGCAATTATACGAACGCCCGCACTTTTGGAAAACATCATTGTCCAGGAACGCGGATTATTATGTAGGCCACGTTCGTAATGTTTTCAACAAACCCCCTCCACCCCCTTTATCGGGGACGGGTTTCAAAGGAGCGTGAAAAAACAAAGTGCAATTTGTACGAGGATCGTTGGACCCGTACATTGAAATTCATCGGTCCAAATTCCCCTGGTAGCCAAACTTTTAAATTAAAAGCCCTCCTCCCTGCGCTTAAAATTTCTCCTAATCCCTGTTTAAATACAACGTAGCCAAGAGATTTGCATAAATTAACGTCCTTTTCCCAACTTTTCGATCAACCGTTTCCCGTTAATCGATCGCGAGAATGCAACGTCGTCCATTGCCTCGTCCATCGGGAGTTCGAGTGAATTCGTTGCTGTTCTTCCGCGTTGTTCTCGCGCTGTTGGGGGAGGGGGAGGAGGGTGTATCGCTTCGAAATATATGGTTCATTGCTAGGGACAGCAGCATTCGAAAAAATGCGCTTTTTTTGAGTTATCACTGGGAGAAAATTGAGATACGGGAGTTTCGATGTATTTTTTTTTTTTTCAAACGCATGAATTATTGATGTGACTTTTCTGTGTTTAATTGCGGGGTATAATGAAGCGTTTAAAAAAGCGTGAGAATTCGCGAACAAGTATTAAGAATAAAAATTATGAAAATACGAGATATAAGAAATGAATGATGTAAATGGAAAGAAAATAAGAAATTTCAAATGGAAGTAAATGGTGGGAGTATATATAGTTATCTTTCGAATATTTTTAAATGATTTTAAAGTATCGAGGAGAAGAATTTATTATTATCAAAATATTAGTTGAAGAATTTCTGCTATTTTGGAAATTTGTATAACTTTCTTAGGAGAGTAGCAAGTCTATATAAATTCTATTTTATTGATTTTTATCTTTTTCCCTGATAAATTTAATTAGTGATAAACAGTAGCTTTTTAAAAACAATATTTTGAGGAGAGTGAAAAATAAATAAATTTTACGTGTCATTAAATTTATTTGCATTTTTCAAAAAGCTAATTTTTTTTTTTTTCGAAGCAAAGAATGCAATGAAACATACAGGCAATTCAATCCGGATAAATAAAGATGCAAACTTTCGAAAAGAAAGTGAAAGATACGTGGCAAAGATAATTTCATCGTTGAACGCATGTCTTGATTAATTAATATTCCACTTTTATCAATGATCGAATGAAACTGAAAGGGAAGAAAGCATGATTTAAATGGACGTCGCGAGCATAAAGCGGCGGAAGGATGTAATTAAAATTGGAACTCATAGAGACATAATGTGCGGAATTTTTTTCTTCGAAGAAAGAATTCGTTTCTTCGCGATCAATTAAACATTCTTTATAAATATACGTTGATTCATTCAGTTTCGTGATGTATAAAATTGATATTCTTATTCTAGATTGTACACAGGATGATATATTGTTCATGTACCAAATTGTATTTTATATAATAATAGTAAAGTGTAAATGTTTGATTAATATATATTTATAAAATTTAAATTAAAAAAAGAAATTTGTTAGTTGCACAATAATTTTCAAGACATTTTGTATTTATAATAAAATGATGCTATTAATTGAGAAATAATAAATTAGAAGAATTTTTTGGTAA